CCATTTTATATTCCCCGAAACAGAGCACCAGGCTTCCAATTTCTCCACATTCTTGCCAACACTTTTTGTTTTCTGTTTTGTTTGGTTTTTGTTTTTTTAGGAGTAGCGATCCTGAATGGTATGAAGTGATATCTCATTGTGGTTTTGATTTACATTTATCTAATGATTAGTGATATTGAGCATCTTTTCATATGATTGTTGGCCATCCTATCTCCCTTTTATAAAGACCCTTGTCATTATATTGGGCCCACCTGAAAAATCCAGAATAATCTCCCCATTTTAAGATCTTAACTTAATCCCATCTGCAACGTCCCTTTTGCACGTAAGGTAACGTACACAGGTTCCACACATTAGAACACAGATAACTCCGTGGGACAAAAGGTGTCATTATTCTGTCTACCACAGGTGACTACTTTACTGCCAAAGCCAAAAGAATAAAAATTCTGAAGAATGGATGTTTGGCTGATGATTTCAAATACAAAAAAGAAGAATTTTATGATCAGTGACATTTGAGACAGCTTTTAGTAAAGTGGCAGGACTGTAACTCAGAATAAGTTATATTTTTTATGTTAACTACTAATCTGAAATTGTATTTACATATATCTGTTTCTTCCCAAAGGAGCTATTTTGTTTAAATTACCCAGAGTTCTCATACGTTTAGGTTAAAGTGAAAACCATACAGTCCTAGGCTAGTATGTCAGCTCTACGCTACACAGCATTCAGGATCCAGGTTCCTTTCCCTAGGATGGAATCCTGGTCCTTGTGGTCCAGGCAACTTTGCAGGAAGCAGGATGGTGGGGGCGGGGTGGGCGGCAAATGCATGTCATGTCAATATAAAGCAAGGGAAAAGATAAAGGGGTTATTGTAAGAAGTTACATGGGTCTAAACTATAGTGTTAGGTGTGAGGACAGGTCACTTGTATGTAGAGTCCAAAGAATACTTGCAGCAATTGACGAAGTCATGGGGGATTGGGGGATTGTGGTCCATTAACAGACACGAGAAGGGAGTGACAATCCTAGGCCTAAGGAAATTGTTGTTTGTCTCTGCTGCTGAGAGAGGAAATGTGGGTTCTGTTTAGAACAAACTGAGCTTCAAGATTCAGAGTTTTATCCAGGTATAGGTGTCCATCAGACCCTGGAAAAGAACAAAGATTGTTTTTCATCCAACACAGGAGAAAGTGCCAAGAAAATAGGTGATGTAGGAAAAAACATCAAGTAGAGAAACTTTGAAGTAGCTCATTTCCAACAGTCTTCATCTGACTTTAAATTATGAGACATGAGTATCTGCAGAGTGAGACAGGTGGGTGGAGGCCCACATGTTTCAAGCTTGGGAAGCAAGGAGGTTTCATAGGCCATGGGAAGTGTGGGGAGGCTCATAGCTGATTGTGCATGAAGCACACACTTGAAAGGTGGTCTTACCTCTAAAGCAGCAGCGCCAGTGTGAGTCCTTTAAAGCAAGAGAAGGCATACAGAGGAGGGGTCCAAGGAAACAGCAACAGAAGGGCATTCTGAAAGCCTGACCCGGGGTTTGTAGTTATATTGAATCACCCATCTGGGGGGATATCAGACAGTTTAGGCCAGAAAGTATAATCAGCAACCAGTATAAAACACCATGGTATGTTGGTGTATGTTGGTATATTCCTGTTTCTTATTTTATGGACTTGATGAATGTCAGAGTTAGCATATGTCAAGTGATGAAGGAACTTTTATTCAAGAAATGTAAATATCGTTTAATGTTGGAGATGGGTTATTGTAATACATCACATAAAGGAATAAGGGGGGAAACGTTTATCTCAAAAGACACTAAAAAGGTATTTGATAAAATTGCATACCCATTTTAAAAAAAGAAACTTTGCAAACTATCGATAACTTCTAGGAATTTGTTTGACAGAAATATTCACACATGTACTCAAAGATATATGTACAAGGATATTTAAACAGAAATAAGAGGCAAAATGACTAGAAAGACGTAGGCAAAATTATGATCATTTGCAGGCAGAGGAATTTTCTATCCAGAAAATTCAGGAAAGTAAACTATAAAATCGTTATCTTTCCTACAAAATAACAAACAACCAGTTAGAGTTATATGATAGGAGAAGTTTCTATTCACAGTAACCCCCTGTATTAGTTTGCTAGGGCTGCCACAATGAAATACCACAGACTGTGTGGCTTAAGTAACAGAAATTGATTTCTCACAGTTCTGGAGGCTGGAATTCCAAGATCAAGGAGTCAGCAGGTTTGGTTTCTAGCAAGGCCTCTCTCCTTGGTTTGCAGGTGGCCATCTTCTCTCTGTGCACACACATCCCTTGTATATCCCAGTCTCCTCTTTTTACAAGGATGCCAGTCAGATTGTTCTAGGGCCCAACCCTAAGTACCTCATTTCAATTTAATCACTTCTTTAAAAGCCTTATCTCAATATACAGCCACATTCTGAGATACTGGGACTTAGGACTGCAACATACGAATCAGGGGGGCATAACTCAGTCCATAATATCCCCAGAAAATATACAATACCTAAATATAACTCTAAGAAGATAGAAGCAACCTAAAGGAAGACAGATATATCATGACATTTCACTGGAAGACATAAAAGAACACTTGAATAAATGGAGAAACATACCATATTCTTGGTGGGAAAGTCTCAATATTATAAAGTGCAAATTTATTCCAAATTAAATTAATAGGTATAACACAAATCAAACAAGATAAAATATCAAATCTCTCAAACTTTCTTTTTATTTCTCTTCCATATTTGTTATATTATCTTCAACAGTAAATTCTTTATTTCTAATGGGCATGCCACCATCATCCCAGACCCATCAGCTTTCACCCCAAATCAACTTTCTCAACCACCCTATACCTAGCAATAGGAAGTCATCACCCTACCAATCACCTAGGATAAAACCTCTGGTTTATCTTTGAAAATTCTCTCTTCTTAGTCCACCTACATACAATCAGTCAGTTCTGTATAGCCATTCTTGTTAATGTTAAACCTACCCCTTCCATTCCATTCCTATCTGCCCACCTTTCCTCATATGTGGATCCTAGCTCTGCACAACACCAACACCTAGATTTATCTTTCTAAAATATGGTTTTAATCATTATTTTACAAGTTTACAAATGTTGTATTCAATACCTCTATTGGGTGATCTTGGACAAGTTAGTTAATCAATATGCCTCTGTTTATTTAGCTGTAAAATGGGAATGATAGCAGTACTTACCTCATTGGGTTATTATGAAAAGTGAGTTAATAATTTTAAAGAACTTGGAACAGTAAGTGCTTTATATGTATGAATATAATGAATAAATTATAAATGAATAAATATCTTTCCCATTGTTTTTTGCTGGTACTTAAAGTGTTCACTTTGAGAAAAACTCATTCCTTGGGGTTTAGGCATTGTATGCCCTTTTCAAACGATTATATTCAGAAATATTTGACCAATATTTTATCAACGAATACAAGTTTCTAAAAAATATATTTTTAATAGCAAAACATTGAAGGCAACCTCATGTCTGTTAGTAGAAAAAGTAATGTTTAATAAAAGATGAAGTCCTATTATAAAAAACTGTGGAGACAAAGGTAAATTTGTAGATAAAAGATATATTTGACATGGAAGGATGGCCATAACATATTGAGTGAAAAAAGCAAATTGAGGAATAAGAGATGCACATTCCTTTCAGGAAGAATAGGAAAAAACACATGAAGCTGTTAAGCAGAGGACAGTCTCTGTTATGAAATGAGACTGTATGACCTTCCTACAATGAACATGTGTTGATTTTGTAATTAAAACTAAGTAAAAACAAATGAATAATGAGAAAAAAACTTTTAAAAAGTTTTAAATTTCCTCATCTCTTGGAAAACTCACTTATCAAAAGATAATCCAGGTTTTTATCTGCCCTGAATGAAAATACTGGTGAGTTTGGGGTTGGTGAGGAGTCAAATGCTACGATTTGCTCCGAAACCTCTATCCCACTAAAGACAGCTTTAAGCACCTTGCAGGTTAGTCTCAAATGTTAGTCTTTATTTTTTACCTGAGAAAGAGGCATCGTCAAACATTTCTACTTTATCGTCAAACATTTCTACTTTATCCATTAATCCAAAGACCATTAATGTAATTACCTGGGAAATTCTAATTTAATGAGACACAAAATCTTCCATTTTAAGCGTTGATGAGGATTAAGGGAATAGCTACCCTTTTCAACAAACAAATCTCAGACTCTCTGAGGCAAAAAAATCTTCATGTAGAAGACTCTGAATTTTCTCATCTTTTTGATAAACACTTCCACTACCAAGAAAGAACTCAGGCAGTTGTAAATAAAGTTCGGCCACACCTGAAAAATCCTTTCTCCAGTTGTTCCTATATGCCCAGACTCAAAGGGTTTGGGGTTTGTAAATAAAAGGTGGCCTACTGTAAGGAGGGGCAAGAGTAAACAATCTCAAAGAAATTAATTACACGGTGCATTTAAACTATCCAGGCACCTGCTTTGCCTAGAAAAACTGCCTGTTGTTTTCATCACTGGGCCTCAGGAAACTAGGCCCTAGCCACCACCTGGTGACGCTGATAACGCGCAATGTCTCTCAGCTGCAGCAATTAGAAAGGCCGGGCAGTCTCCTTTAAGAAGCTGACTCACGTGGACGCTGTGTTGTGTGCTCTCAGCTGGGAAGGGGGTGGATCTCAGGTCTCTCCACATTGGCTGCGTCTGGAGAGGGGGCAGAGTTAGCCTCTTTGATTGGCTGTCCGAGTCCCGGGCGTTGGGTCAGGGGCGGGGCGAGCTGCAGGGAGATTGCCCGGGGTCTGCGGCTTCTGGGAGGGGCGGGCCGCGACGCAAAGGGGAGCGGGAGTGGGGGAGGGTGAGCCAGAGAAGGGGCGGGGCCCAGCGGAAAGGGCAGGGTGCCGGGGAGAGGGCGGGGTCTAGAAATGATGGGCGTTCTGGGCCAACCGGGAGAGCCGACTGTTCGAGGGGCGGGGCTACGCCGGGTGATTGACGCTGAGGCCCAACCAGGGAGAGGCGGGGCCAAGGCCAGGGCCTGACTAAACCTGGAGACTCCGCTGTCGGAGGGGGGCTTCATTTCAGCTGAGGACCGAAGAGCCGCTGGCGGCCGTGGATCTTACAGCCGCTCGGGGTGAGTGCGGCGGTCGGGGGCTGGATTCGGGGCCCGAGGGGGGCTGAGGTGCCCCTCCGGGCCAGCGGCTTCGAAACACTCGGGATCGGCCCGGGGCGGGAGGCCCAGGCAGGAAGTGCCTTTTCCTCCCCGCGCTCCCTCCGGGGTCCCAGCGCGGACGACCCCCGCCCCTGTGGGCGGGCTCCGGTGCCGGGGCTGCGGGCTGACGAGCTGGCCTGTTTCCTCTTTGTGAGGCCCAGGCGCGGCGGCCGCCGTCAGCCCGCCCCCGCCGCGCAACCGGGGCAACCGGCGCAACCGCAACAGACGCGACATCCATCTCGGCGCCCGCGCCCTCCCGCCCCGGCGCAAGCCTCTAAGTCCCTGCACGTCGCGGCCGGGGCTTCCGGCGCCCCTCTGCGGGCAGTTTGGCCGGCGACCCCGTCGCCTGGGCTGCCCCGCCCCCACGGGCCGCGTCCCCGCCGCAGTGTCGGAGGCGCGCCCCGAACTCCGCGCCGCCGCGGTCTCCGCCGGGGCCTGCGCCCACGGCCCCGAGGTGAAGTCCGAACTCGACTCCGAGATGTGCGGCGTTAATAACGCCACGGCGTGGCCTGTCCTTCAAAGGGGCCACATCCCCTTTCGGTTGGCACTGGCTATGGGCGGGGGTCGGCGTTGGCTTTTGTTTGCTGCCCCCCAAAGGCTGGATGCCCGCCACCCTGCCCTCCTGCACCCCAGGAGATCCCCGGGCCGAGGGAGGGTTACGCTTGACGGAGGGCGTGGCGCAACTGCTGGGCGGCCGTCGGGCGGCCGGGCCCGCGGGGCCGCCCGCTCAGCTGTTTCCGGCCCGTGTTTGTTGTGCCGGAGGAGGCCCGGCCGCGCCGCGCTCGGGCCCCGGCCCCTCCCGATTGGCCCGCGGCGTCACGTGCCCGCAATCAGCTGGGGCCAGCCTGGGCTGCGGGGCGTGGGTGGCTGAGGCGGTGCTCACCGGCGCGGGGTGTCGCGCGGCCGCCTGCTGCCCCACGGCGAACGGCATCCTTGCTTTCCTTGTCGGTGGGGCGTATGCGCGTCCTGGCCACCCCTTTATTCTGCACTCGTAGGTAGGACAATGAGTATTCCGGACAGCGGGAGTTGGAAAATTGGAATACTACAAAGATCTGTTTAATCCCGACACCGATTAATCTCCCCTTGCGCGGAGAGTCTGGAAGGTGTACAGCTCATTTATTTTTAAATTTTTTCTGTTTACAGAGCCCTGTTGGTAATCTGAGGATTTTTATTTCAGATCTCCTTGACAGATGGAAAACCTGAAGTAACCTCAGGCTAACCTTGTGTTTTGGGGAAATTAGACTTGCTGCTGAAGTAACTGGGGGTAATAGGGTATTAGCTAATCTTGCACAGTTGCATATGCAGTGTTGCAGCTGTGTTCCAACAAAAGACGAACCAAAATGCATGAAGTGTGTCCAGGGTACATATTTGTGCCAGATGTGAAGTGTCTTGGTGGAATCTTTCCCTAAAAGTTTATTGCATACTCACACTATGTTAGGTAAGAAGGAAATTGCAAAGAATTTACAATCTTTTCTCTAGAAACGCACAGTTTTTAGTAAAAAGGCATAGGCAAATGAAATTGGGTAACAGTACGCAGTTAAATATTAGTAAGTTATGAAATGACGTTATAGAAGTTCAAAAATGGGGCAGTGAGAAGAGTGAAGCAGCCTAGAGTGGATTGATATTAATTAGACCTAGAAAATGTAGAGGCTTTGGGATGCTATTGGGCAAACAGAGGCCTAGGAGGAAAAAAAGAGGCCCAGAGCCTTTATAGATAGTGAGAAGGTAGAGCTTGTGGAATTTGGCACACAACGTATTTTCCACATATGCCATTATCTTTCTGGCTTTGTACTGGAATACCAGGTAAAATGTCATGCTCCTTGGAAAGAACCAATGTCTGCCTTTATCACATTCTCACCCAGCTCAGTGCCCAATACAGGCTTACTGTTTGGCTTTTTTTTTTTTTCTTTTTTAAGTTTATTTCTGGCAGCCATCTTATCTATAGGAGAGGGTGTTGATGAAATGTGCTTAAGTAAGTTATTTAACTCTATACAGGGACACTAAATTGGATTTTAACATGTAAAATACATGTTGCTGCTTCTAAAATAATCTGGCTGGATCATTGAGGACCTTTCCCTAGACTTAGTTGCCTTTTCTTTTGCTCTATTTAAGTGGTAGGAAAGAAAAAAGGGTTTAGAAAATTAAAAAGGAAGGGAAATAAGGCCAAAATTAAGTCTAAAAATGAGATTAAATTAGCTACTACCCTCCAAAAAAACAGTCCATGAGACATGAGGCTAATCCTAAATATCAAGATGTGAAGATAGTCCTACTAAGTGTAATCCTACCCAGATTATCACTTTAGGTTTCATAGTGCCTAAATGGCTATATAAACCAATATCAGTTTCTCTGATAATCCTGTGTAGTAATGTCTTGGTGTAGGAACTGAACCTTAGCTGTGACATGAAACTTGCTACTTGACACCTGAGTCAGGAAACCAGAGAGTTAAATTGTACTCCAGTCCATCCAATTAGAGGCTTTTTTGACTCATGGTATTGCATCACAGCAAATGAGAGATCCTGAATTTGTCTTGCCAAAAGCTGTTTTGGGGAGATTACCAACTCAGATTGTTTAGCTGACTCACTGAGTTACACGACTAGTCTTATTTTCTAGAGATGACTGAACAATAAGAATTATAGAAACATAGTGAACTTGGAAAACGTTTAAAAACAGCAAAGGCATTATTTGCAGGCAAGAACAAAAATATAAAAGTTACTGTCAAATGAAGATGTGAGGGCTTCCCTGGTGGCGCGCAGTGGTTGAGAGTCCACCTGCCGATGCAGGGGACACAGGTTCGTGTCCCGGTCCGGGAAGATCCCACATGCTGCGGAGCGGCTGGGCCCGTGAGCCATGGCTGCTGAGCCTGCGCGTCCAGAGCCTGTGCTCCGCAACGGGAGAGGCTGCAACAGTGAGAGGCCCGCTTACTGCAAAAAAAAAAAATGAAGACCTGATTCCACAACCAGAACATCATTTGAAACAGCAAAGTAAACTGGTCAGGTATTGCAAGAGAACAAGAGGAAAGCATAGCTTTCTTGTGTCACCGAAACCTTGGCTTGGTGAACATTTTGTAAAAAAAAAAAAAAAAAAAAATTGGAAAATTGGTTTTGTGGATCAAACTCAATTTATTATTTTCTCTTGTAGGTTTTCAATAGAACTTCATCACAAATTGGTATGAAATAGTTGATGAGATAACAGTAGAGTTAGATGTTAATTATAGTAATCAGCCCAGCACTGTTAAAAGTCCTTTGAGTTTTGTTCCTTCCCTTTTTGGAGAGGGAAGAGACTGAAAACCAGATATACAAGCTTGCTCCCGCATGTTTCCATTTTAGCCAAACCATTGCAAAACACAGCCTTTCCTGGAAGGGCAGATTCCTTTAACCCTTTCTGCACTAGGCTCCTGCACACTCAGTTCCCTGCAGGAGAGAGTTTTTGTGTCTTGCATTTGCCCACCACCTCCTAGTGCAGTGGAAAAACCCCTCTTACCTGTCCAATGATAGAGTTGGGTGGAGTGTGTGTTTTGTGGTCTGTGGAAATGCCCTGAGGAAATAATTCTTTTACAAAGGAAAAGTCTATCTGTGGATTGGGTGTTTTCCCACCAGAGGGTTCTTAGAGATGCCTCCCTGGTATTTTTAGGGCTGGGAAGTGTGATTCCTCCTCCTGTGAATTCTACTTGCCAGGGTTGAGTCCAAACTGGATTATTAGTTACAGGGAGGGCAAGTGCCTATTTTAAGACCTAGAATTATGATACTGAGAATTGGAGATGCTTCACAAGGTTTCTAACTTTCCTCCTGCATGTAATTTCTGTCACCTGGTCACTTAGCTTTGCAGTGATTAACAGGAAATGAAGCCAGTTAATTATTATTGTTTGTTTCATATCCTTTCTGAGCCTTGCTTTCTTCATCTGTAATTGGAGGGGGAAGTTCAGGTGGAGAATGTTGAAGAAGATAATCTAATTTTGCTAGATTTATCTTTATTTAGCATTTATTGTGTGCCAGGCACTGTTCTCAAAATGTATTATGGCCATTTAATTTTCACAACTGAGAGATGGGTACTGCTGTCACCGTTTTATAGATGAAGAAACTGAGGTGAGGATACCTTACCCAAAGTTTATGCAACTTTTAAGCGGCAGAGCTGAGATTTGAACCCCGAGTTCAAGTGTTTGAGCTACATTGTTTAAATCCTAGGGGTGGAGAGAGAAGGAGGCAGCAGCTGGGTATACTATCTATTTTTATGATCTTTGTATTGTTGATCTTCAACATGCTGAATTTACTACAGAAAGTTAAGGACTTTAGTTAGAAAATCCATGAAGAAAAGGGGAGTGGGATTAAATTGATTTTGTTGGATACTCCTGTTGATCCTTAAACCTGAATGCCAATCAAGTTTCCTTTTTTTCTGAGAAAGACTGTCTGCTTTTTAAATGAAAAGCTCTTCTGCTCTCCAAACAATTTTTTCAGCAAGGGTCAGCACACTTTCTGTCAAGGGCCAGATAGTGAATATTGTGAACTTTGCAGCCCATAAGGTTTAAGTAGCAAATACTCAAATTCTGCCATTGTAGTGAGAGAGCAGCTAAATATAAACAAATGGGTATGGCTCTGTCCCAATAAAACTTTATTTATGGTCACTGAGATTTGAATTTCATGTAATTTTCATGTCACAAAATATTCTTTCAGTGTTTTTTTCCCAACCATTTTAAAGCGTAAAAAGCATTCTTAGTTTTTGGGTCATACGAAAATAGGTGGTGAGCTGAATTTTGTCCGTAGGTCTTCGTTTGCTGACCCCTGCTTTTAAAGAATATATTCAGCAATGAACCAGACTAATGAACAGGATATTTGTTAGTGTGTATGTGTGTGTGGTGTGTATAAATCAGTACCAGTGGTGAACAAGTGGAATTTGAAATTAACACAGTACCATTTACATTAGCACGC